ATATATACATATATAAATAATAAAAAGAAAACCCCAAATTTGAAATGCTCCAAATTCTGAACTTCTTGAACACTGACATACCACATGTGGAAAATTCTACATATTGACTTCATGTGATAGGTTACAATCAAAATGCTACATTATAGAAACCAGCAGATGACATAAGGATTATGTTGCTGGACTCCCATGTAGTTGACTACAGTTTGAGTCCTGGACCCAGTGGCTTAAAACTCATGCTGGGCACATGTGCGTGGGGCCAAGATCCTAACAGGAGAATGGAAGAAAAGGGGCTGCAGCAGGGCGTGGTGGTGCCCGCCCTATGGCAAAAGAGGTTGCAGCATGGCCGTCCCCCCTGGGGGGTGATTTCTCACTTTCTGTCTGTGTCTTTCTGGTGAGCACACGCACCATATAGCAAAAACAAAACAAAACAAAAACAAAAGAATAAAACTCATGCTGGGCACATGTGCGTGGGGCCAAGATCCTAACAGGAGAATGGAAGAAAAGGGGCTGCAGCAGGGCGTGGTGGTGCCCGCCCCAAGGCAAAAGGGGTTGCAGCATGGCCGTCCCCCCTGGGGGGTGATTTCTCACTTTCTGTATCTCTGTCTGGCAAGTGTACATACCCTGTAGCAAGAAATCTCTCTAAACAGAAATAGATAAATAAAAATGCTACAATATAAAAATATCATACAAAATCATCTTCAGGCCACGAGTATAAGGCATTTATGAAACAGATCCATTTTATGGTCATACTTGGGTTCCATTCCCAAGGTATCTTATTAATGTATATACAAATATTCCAAAATTTAAAAATAAAACAAGGTTCAAAACACTTGTGTTACCAAGCATTTTTGGATAAGAGATACTCAACTTCTAGTATGTAAAAAATATCGCAAATTATATATAAAACTTTGCAGATAATCTTGTTATTTTATAAAGAATGCTTGTAGGGGCCAGCAGGCATGGTGGTTAAGGTGTTAGACACTCCCACAAGGCCAACCACAGTTTGAATCCCAGACCTGGTGGCTTGCTTTCGCACTTTTCCTCTCTCTGGTCAAATCAAAATAAATGAATAGGGAGCTGGCAGATGGTGTGGTTAAGGGTGCTGGACTACCACATGGCTGACTACAGTTTGAGTCCTGGATCTGGCAGCTTGCTTTCCCACATTCCCCTCTCTCTCTCTGTCACTCTCTGGTCAAATTAAAATATAAATAAATATAAATAAATAAAGTTAAATAAAATAATCCTTTAAAATAAAAGAATTAATAAATACAATGAAATAATTCTTTTTTTTAAAAAAAGAATGCTTCTATAAAACTACACCGACTCTAAAATATAATATAAATTTAGATAGTGCATCTCTTTAAAAATGTGGCCCAAATCTCCTCCTATATTGTTTAATATATTTACTGGGTTGTCAGAAAAGTCATGGTGCATTTTTCCACAGAAAAATATGTTGTGACTCTTCTGATGACCCAATATTTAAGAACAAAGAAATAAAAGTATCTGTTTTAAGAAGTGCAAATATATGGAACTACAGTTACATAAGCAGAAAGACAAATTGATTTTCACTCCTGCTGTTCATGCTAGGATAAGACAGAGAGGTATCTCATCATACGTAATCTACAACATGAAAAATACAAATGCTGGCAGAAACAAGGATGCCCTTTGTGATGAGGGTTTCATACTCTGCCATACCACACATGAGTACTATACTTCGTTACAATGGAAGGTCACACTTGCTTTTACGGTTTACATGAAATATTTAAGAACTATTCAAAATAGAATTAGTTTAAGAGACATGATAAACAAATGCAAGTGTACACAGTTTGGATTCTTATTCCAACAAATCTACAGTAAAAAGACATCTTTGAGAACAGGTAGAAACAACGAATGAACTGGGTAGACCATACTACAGAATCATTGCTAGTTTTACTTGGTGTGATACTAGTATTGTCTATAGAGTTGAAAGTCGAGTGTAACAAGTATTACAGGTAAATACTTCTAAGAGAGTTGGCTGAGATTTCCTTTGAAATATTCAAGAGCGAAATAAAGTGAATAAAGGAGGAAGATTAGATGAAGCAAGAAGAGTAGAATGCTAGTGACAGGGATGTATACCTGGAAGTTCATTACATTATTCTTCCTACTTACTAAGTTTGAAAATAATATTTCTATTAGAAGGCGAGACCTAAGTTAGCAATGGATCTAAGTGGGCTTTCAGAACATAATTACATAGCTTTTGTTTATTTTGAAAGTACTTGTTTATTGTACAAACACTGTTAAGACTTAAGCTCAATTGAGACACTTACAAATCCAGATTGTCTAATAAACTCTGGCAAACTGAATTCAAGTATCCAGTTTCAACTGCATTGTGAGAGACATCAAAAACAAAGAGGTACACTGGAGGCTGAGGCGGTCGTAACTGAAGGGAAAAAAGATCTTGTTAAATACATTTAACAGGATTAAATTTAAACTTATTTGCTGGGTCCACATACAGCAAAACAATAAAATAAACATTTACAGACTGAGTGGAAGCTGAAGTAAACAAGTTAAGCTGTACTATATTGTTTAAGATTCATGATTAAAAGAAAAATGAGTCTGATTGCCATAATTCAAGAGTGTTGGGAACCAGCAGTTAGCGTAATGGCTATGTTGCTGGACTCCCACGTAGTCGACCGTGGTTCACGTCCCGGACCCGGTGGCTTAAAACTCACGCCGGGCGCGTGTGCGTACGTGCCCAAGATCCCGAGAGGAGAATGGAGGAGAAGGGACTGCGGCGTGACCACCCCCCCTGGGGGGTGATTTCTCGCTTTCTGTCTCTATGTCTCTCTCTGTCTGTCTGGCGAGCGCACGCGCCCTATAGCGAAAAAACCTCTCCAAAAAAAAAAAAAGAGTGTTCTCTCTAGGAAAGGGATGGGAAGAAACGTGGTAAGAACAACTCTGGCAGTATTTTTATGATATAATTATTTAGTTAAAAGTCAATTATTATTCACGTTTCTATATGTGTGTTATATTTCCTAGATTAGAGAAAATATAGTTCTGAAAATGACAGATCAAGTTAGCCTCAGCTGGTTATTTAATACATTGTAGCCAAATTTCAAAAAAAAGGTAAAACTGTAATTTCAACTTTCAAAATCAAAGACTTGTTTCCAGTTTGGTAAAAAACATTTAAAAAGGGCCAGCTGGTGACATGGTGGTTAAGGCAGCTGGTTACCACACAGTCAACTGTGCAGTTTGAAACTTGGACCTGGCAGCTTGAAAAAAAAGCACTGGGCATCTGCACGTGCGTGCCCAAAATCCTGAGAGGAGAATGGAGGAGAAAGGACTGCAATGTGCCATCCCCCATGAGGAGGGTATTATTTCACTTTCCTCTCTCTCTGTCAACAGTGCCCTATAGCAAATTTAAAAGAAAAACAAAAACCAAAAAGGGGCCAGCAGGTGGTATGGTGGTTAAAGGCACTGGATTCCCATATGGCCAGCCACAGTTCAAGTCCTGAACCCAGCTTGTTTTCTTACTTTCCTTGTCTCTCTCTCTCTCTGGTGAGCATGCATGGCCCATAGCAAATTAAACAAAATAATAATAATAAATAATTATTTAAAATCCAAACAACTATAATCAGAACTGGGCATGTAGTATGCTAACTATTAAATATTTTTGCACACATTGGGACCAGCAGTTGGCGTACTGGCTGTCACTGGACTCCCATGTAGTCGACCGTGGTTTGAGTCCCGGATGCAGTGGCTTAAACTCATGCTGGGTCCGTGTGTGTGTGTGTGTGTGTGTGTGTGTGTGTGTGTGTGTCC